TGGTAATTTGAAGGGTTACAAATGTGCTAAAGCAAAATTAAAGACTGAAATGGTATGGGCTGCATATAAGGTGGCTCCTGCATTCTTGTGCAGTCTTGAGGGGCTGTCTTATAATTCAAGTAAATGTTTTTTCCTTCTTTTCCTTTGTTTAATCCTATTCCTCAGTCATGCTAAGATTTCCTGTTGTTCAGACCACTTCAATCCCTGCCCTTGTGTTTCCATGCCAGGTTTGGTCGTCTGCCCCACCCTGATTAGTTTCACCTGTCCCTCACTAGTCCTGCAGTCTACTCACCTGTTCTCACTTCCCAAATTAGTGCCTCCCTATACCTGCCCAGTTCCTTTGTTCTTTGTTAGTTCATCTTCATTTTCTGTTGGAGCTCTGTTACCTGCTTTCCTGTGCCTACCGGCCTTCACCTGTCTTATTTTTGGACTGTAAGCTTTTTGTTTGTTTGTTTGTTTTAAATAAATATTTGAATTTGTCCCGCTGTGTTTTTTTGTTGTCTGCGCCTGGGCCCATAGCTAATTTGTCCTCTATGGCCCCCTAGTGGTGTAATCCATTCCTGGGAGTGATTTTACCACCATTTGTCCCTGTCTATATATTTATTAGAAATCCATGTGCTGATCACATGGTGTCTAAGATTCTTTGCTTTAGATGGGCATGTAATAGGTAAAGGGATCCATGTTGTTAGCTGATTAAATTTTAAAATGATATACCTCCTGTTTGTGTCAAGCTGTGATGATCAGATAAGATGTCCTTTTTGGTTAAACTGATTATCAAGTATGTTAGCTGTTCTTTTAACTGTGTGGAACTACATGTCTGACTTTTAAAAATGTCTGCACTTCAATAAGCTTGCACATAAAAAGATAATGGTCCTTCATATTTTGAGAAGGTGAGGAAACCTGTAAAACATGCTAGGAAGACTACATCCCCCAAAATGCCTGGGAGTGGCTGGGAACCTTTTTCTTCTGTAAACCTACCCCAGATATGCAACATAGACAATGGATGAAACTGCATGTTTGTCTATGCTGCAACTGAAGCGTGCCAAGAATGTGTCCAATGGAAAGAAGAATGTCATTCACGAAGAGGTGAAATGAGCATGACAGACACCTGCAGGGAAGAAAGTCAATTAAGTGCAACTGGGCTGATCTGTTGGCCCCAAACACTCCAAATGAGAGGTCAGCACTTGGTCTGAATCACAGCAGCACCCTGAACCATCTCAGCAGGCCTGCGTGAATTTTCATTATCAACAAATGGGGCTTTGGAGACTTGAATCTGTGCTAAATTTATAGTCTGGTAAATGTTCCGGTCATTAAATGTTTTTTTTTTTTTCTGTTTTCCAAAACCCACAACAATCAAACTAGGGCAGTTTGGTAGTTTGGTCATTGCATCTAATGTTAAATATGCTGAAATCATACTTAATTACAGAAGGCAGAGAGTTTTTGAAATTATGTAACCTATAAAATGAGCAACCCAAAGTGAGCTGATTTAGAAAGAAAACTGAGAATGGCAGAACTTTAAAACAAAAAAAAAAGGAAATCTGTCTCATCCCTCTAAGCAAGAAAAATTAAATTTTTAACAAATCTCTCTTGTCAGTAACAAATCTTTATAATTTAATTTATTTTGGCAAATACTCGCCCAAGCTATTTTACAACATATAAAGTGTAAAACATGGAGTAATGTAAACAAATGTAATGCAGGGCTGCTCCTGGTCATTATAGGTGTCCTCACCATAATTGCTGTGTGGTTATTCTTTTGTGTGTGTGTGATGCGCATGTATGTAGCGACAGCGCAGATGTAATGCTGAAATTCAGCATGAACCTTATTTTGATACTTATTTCTATATTTTTTGCACACACATTCTTGGCAATTAAAGCTAATTTTGATTCTGATTTTGATTTAAATGTGTGATTTCTACTTAAATTATGTTATGGCCCTCTCCAAAAGCAAACGATCTCTATAAATATCTCTCTCTTGGCAAATAATATACTGACCACAAAATTGGGCAGATCATTATGTAAATTAAAAGCAAGAATAGCCCTGAGGCTCACCCTTTGGATCACCAGTGTGAATATCATGAAGGTTAAGGTGTTGATTAATAGACTAAAGACCAAATTATTCACATGACGGTATGTGATGACACAAGACATGACAGTTTAGGTTAAAATAATCTGTTGTTTTTAACCCAAAGATAATCTGGTTATGTTATCAAGTTGGAGAAAATAATCAGTTGAATTAATAAGATGACATTTTGAAAGTAACTTCTTTGTTTAAATCCAGAGAAGCCAAGTGTTCATAAATGAGTCTGTTGGATGATCACTGAGAAAATGGGGAAGCTCTCTTAGTCTTCAAGGAACCAGCAGTCTCAATAACATGTCAGCCGTATGACTCATAAGATTAAAAGTCACATAATTTCCCATGAAACTCAGACCACAGATTTTAGATTCACTGTTCATTCTTAAGAACAGCTATCTCTCCACATCAATTGAAACAATCTATCCCATCATTTTCCTCATTCTCTTTAGATTCACAATGAATGAGCAGAAACAAATAAAGCATTGATTCTCTTTTTTACACCTGCATTTGAAGTTGTCTGTGGTCTAATAGGAGCACATTACAATTAATGCTTAGTCGGAGAACTTACATTAGGTCAACTTTAATTAATAATGACTCAAGTTAAACAAAGGTTCTGGGTGAGAATGTTACCTATCAGGTATGCAGTCAGACCAGTTCAGTGTATTAACAGAAATGTAGGGCTTGGCTGTTCTTACACAGGAAATGCTAGCAGGCACAACTGATCTGCTTAGAGCCCCGCAGCAACTATAGGTGCACTATAAGGCCCCCAGATAAGACACATGAACTATTTCTTTGTCTTTACGTTTTACAGTTTTAATACTGTTTAGTATTTGTAGCTACATGAGAATACTTACTAAATACAAAGGACTGTTTCAAGGTGTAGGTCTGCTTTAGAGATTTAGTATTGAACAGGTTGGGGGACTTGTGAAAGACAAACTAAAAGATAAACCTCAAAATTGAATCAGCAAAAACTGAGATTATATCCTGACTCTGAGTCCCTAGTATGGGTCAAACTGGATCCTACACTTCCCATAATGTATCTCAAGTAGCATCTTTTATTAGACTCTCCCTGCCTCCTGAAGGGAAATGTATTTCAAACCCCACATCTACTGGTAACAAGTCATAAACTCAAGCAACATAAGACCTACATTGCAGGCTTAGGACTCTTTCTGATGAGTATACCGAACTTTGTGGACACCAGTTCATGTCTTTTAGAAAATGCACAGTCTGATAGTGGAACCACAGCCTATAGTTCATGTTGTCAACTGTAAAGTTTTTTGAAACTGAGTTTGTTCAAACTTCAACAAATGTTTGACTTTTAACTAACAAAAATTCTTATTTTTATATATATTATTATATATTATATTATATTTTAATTTTATTATATTATATTCTAATTTTTATTCCTGTGTTTACGTGGTCTTATTATGTGTGGTTGTGTATGTGTGATTTTTATTTTGTGTGTCAAGCCCTTGTTTTTTATTGCTACTGCAAAACCAATAGCCCTTGGGGACATATGAAGGTCTTGAATCTTGAATCTTCTTTCTTTCTTTCTTTCTTTCTTTCTTTCTTTTACTCACAATTTATTAATTCCCAAAGTCATGTGATTATTGGGAATTTTAGCCAGTTTATCATAAACATGAAGCCAGAATTTATTTGTAGATTATATTTTTTTACCTTATGTTCACAAGTCATGGAGGAACTATTGTTCGTACACTCTCTTGTGCACACAAGATATAATTTACTGTCTGTAAATATAGTCTACGGTTTAAAAATTAAATAGCTGCAGGGAGTTTAGGCACCTGCACAGAGCACTGGAAGCCTGAGAGATGATATATTTTTATCTATACAAGATTCTTGTGCGCACAATGGGCCTACATGAGGCTATGTATTGTTAACAAAATTCATATCTTGTGCACAGAAGTTCATATCTTTTGCACACAAAATAAAAAAACATAAATCATCTGTCAGAATGTGGAGGGCTCCTTAATCCTAGTAGTGTAGCATAAACGCTTTAAGACTGAGATAGCAGTATACCTCCATGTGGAAGAATAAAATTTGAGGAAATTCATTGGTTTATGTTATTTTTTAACATGTCTGAAAATACACATTAGCATGAACCCAACATATTATTAGCAAGACAAGTTGGCCTATTTCAAAATAGAATAAAATAAAGTTACAGTATACAACACTTATGAAAGGCTAACTGTCACCAATAAATCGTTGTGCAATCATGTTAACTAGCAAACGCTAAATCTCTCTACAGCAGCTGTCCATATCAGTGAGGTAATCTAGTTAGCTAACAGTTACATACTATTGAAACATATTACCAATCAGTTGTATTATTTTTCCATGTGTACGGACATTCTCGTTAGCCACAATGGATTGTTTTAGAACTTTTTGAACAAGAGACACTGAAATATGGTCCACCTCAATGTGTAAATAGGCTACAAGAATCTGCCAATAGTTTTATTTTAATAGCTTAGTATTGTATGCAACACAAAGGGGTATGTTTATACCTGGCACTTTAACCCACCTTACATGTTACTGTTGGCCCAGTTAAATATGCAGCTCAGTTTCATACAATATGTAGGGGGTCTTTGCTCAATCTCTTTGTTTTAGCTAAGGTCATTGGCTTGAAAAATGTTGAAGACCCCTGGTTTAGATGACTGTTTATCTAGATTAATAAAATATGAGCAATTCATATATGACCAAAAAATATGAGGCTTTATTGGGCCAATAATTTGAGGGGGGGCGGCTTACTTCTGGGGGACCAGGGAGCACCACAGTACCCTAAAGAGCCTGGCTCCGGCCCAGCTCTGTGGCGGCGGTGGTCAACAGTTGGTGTCCGTCCTCCTCTGTGTTTTCTCCGCCCTCTGTAGTATATAATGAGCCGAGCAGCATCCAGTCTGCGGGGTTAGCTCAGCCTGGCGCTGCTCAGTACACGCAACATGGCGGAGAGAGACAGCGAGCAGCTGCGGTCCACACGGTCGTGTCCTCCGCCACCGCAGTAGAAGTGTTCGGTGTTGGGTCACGTCTCTGGACTCTCAGGTGAAACAGTGAGGAGACAAGTTTGACACTACCGGAGAAAAAACTCGTGGAAATGAGTCGCGAGTGAGGAATTGGAGATGAACCGACACGCAACAGGTAGGAGAGACAAGTGCAAACGTGCACGCGACACCTTCTTCATCCATAGTGACTTAAGTGGAGCTGAATTGTGTATTTGACTGATAAACTTCTATTACATGAACAGTTTAGTGGCGCCGTCGTCTACATCACTTTACACTGTGCTGCCAACTTTTCTCAGAGGCGGTGAGGAATTTGCTGGACCAGTTCCCCCAGCAGCGGTCATATTGCAGAGACTGTTGGAAATTCTTGTCTGGCGTGTTTTCAATAAAAATAATCATTTCCCACAAACCTTTCAGACGTCCAGGAGTTGGCGCAGGACAGCGTCCCCTCCCCACCGCTGCCTGCTGATCATGTGCTCAACTCTGCAGCCGTGTTGTTCCCTGGTAGCTATTAATCCACTCTGCTCTCACTGTTACACATGCTTTTATATGTACAGTACAGTAATGTGGCTGATGCTGCATTCAGTGGCAAAGTTGGTCCGGAATGATAAGTGCCAATCAAGACATATATTGAGTCATTGTATTGATGTGACAGATGCTGATAATGGCCCTGCATTACATGTTGAGAGAGTGACAATAATCACTTAGGGACTGTTCATTACTTGTAAGAAGGGAGGGGGTGGTGCAAAAAAAGGGAGGCATGTCAGATCATTTTTAAGCACTTGAGAGGGACTTATATTTTTTCATTTTGGCTTTGCGCAGGGGCATACAACTTAAAATGTCCGTATTTTGTATTTTACTGCAGATTTTTTACTTTTTAAAATCGTAAAAAGTACACCATTTCTTATAGCCGGAAACTGTAAAGTTAGTTATCATTTAAAGTTATCATTGGATTATCAAAATTCCAGTAGACCTTGGACACATCATGTACCAAAATGCTTCCTTCAGAAAAAAACCCCCAAACAAATCTAAAGTAAAGTAATGATATTTCATCAAATCACTCTTGTCTTCAAGTCTTACCGTAAAACTTTAATTAGTAACACAGGCTATTATTTGCTTAAATCACTGAACTCAACTGGCTTATATTTGGGACAGGCGTCTATATGGGACAGGCCCTTAATTCCTTTCACACAATACTGTTGCTTAGCAAAGATGGGAAATATGATCGAATTGTTTATTCAAACCAGTGGGAATATTACTTATATAAAACGTAAGCTCGACTGACTTAGGATCTTCTCTGATGCTCCATGGTTTCAGTAGAATGAAATCAAGCTAACAATGTGTAGCATCTCCATATTGATAAATGTTAAACATTTATATTTGTATGTGCGATCTAAACAGCTAACTAATGTTAGCTTAGATGGGTAGTCGACAATCTGGTCCTCTACATCCAAACTAATATAAAAATGAACTGCTTGGCAGCCAGACCAGGCTTCTAATTGAGACAGGCCTTTATTTGTCAAAATGTGTAGCGACATCGGGCTAGTAAAAGGGACTTGGCGTTCAACTGGGACTAGGCTTTTAATGGAAGTTCTACGGTATTTAAAAATTTGCCAGAAGTAAACCATTTGCACTGACTAACCAGCATGTACGACAAGAGTGAAAAAACAAGGCTTTTTTTCAATTCCAGGATTTCGTCTTCAACTTTTTACTACAATCTGACGACAAATTTATGGTGGAGGGAGGGTCCTGCATTTTCCCCCAGGCACTCGGGGAAGCTCAGGGAAAAATATCTGTAGCTTCAAGGAGGGTCAAAAACAAAACAAAATAAACTAACAAACAAACAAAAAGTCACATGCCAGCCACCACCCCCCTCCTCTGTTAAATAAAGAACAGCCCCACCTTAGTAGCACTTGCACAAACCAAACTTTCAAATTTGATATGAATGCCAGATAGAATAGTTTGACTGCCTTTTCTTTTCTTCCTACAAATTTGAGATAATTTATGTTATCTCTCTGTACAGGTGCTTTTGATCAACAAGGCTGCCCTCTGATCGTGTTCCCAGCAGATGAACAAGCCAAACTCTCCTCAGAGCTCAGCAAAGCAGAAGTGGTGGACTTCATAAAGTACTTTCTGTGTCTGCACAAGTACGTCGAGTCAGATAGGCTGATTGTGTGTGAAAGGGGGTGTACAAGATGTGGCTACTGATGGTTGCGGTGTTCTCTCTCAACAGTAAGAAGCAGGAGAAGGAGAGTTTGGTGTCAGTGGTGGCTGATCTGAGACATGCCTCGCTCCCTACGACCAGGTTTATCGCTGAGACTCTGCTCCTGCTTGAGGTATAGTGATGGCAGAGTGTGATGTGTGAGTCTGTGTGATGCTGCTGCTGATGATGCTGGCCTGCAGCATGTTTCCAGTGATTGATCTGATACCAGATATCCACTACATTAATAGCATGACCTCTAGATCTCCATGGTTATCGCTCAAAAAATGGATGGTACTTCTATGAAGGATTGTAGTCTGACCATAGATGTATTTGGACTACTTGATACTGAAGTCAAAGATGGAGCCTGTTCAGTCTGATCAAAGTTGCTCATACGTGTAAGCCAAAAATGTCCTCCATGTTGTGCAGCTCACTGCACTGCCACAAGAATGACAATAATTGACCTTGTTTGCAGTTGTAGGCGTCTAGTCCACAGTTTTACAGACATCTCTTGTACAGTGGAGGCCTACAGGAAAAAATGCTTTTCATGGTTTGCAGCAAGGCCGACTGTCTGCATTGTATCCAGCTGTCTTAATACATATACATCCAACTGCCTCTTGATCATCTATGCACCAATCACAGCATAGCACTAACTAAGACACCTGTCATCTTTCAGCTTTATTGTCTGCGCTGCTGTTACAAACTATAGGTGAACTTTAAAGATGGTTAAAACATGTGCTTAGTGGATATACCGGAGCCACAGTCTGTAAAAACCCTAAGGCAGCAGTAAAACCTGTGTGCCTCACAATGCTGTAAACAAAGCAGAGAGCTTTTGAAAAATGAACTGACAGTTGCAGCATTAAAAAACATACAGCAACATCATATCAATTATATTAAGCCACTATTGGTCAATATCAGAGCACCTCTGTTAGTAACACTGTGTTCACACTATGAGCGACACAGCAACAGGCTTTTCAAATGGAAGCCGGTGGCATGAAGCTACAAACTGATTTGGAACATGTCATGCCTGGCAGCGCTGGGCGTCAAAGTTGACCAAGCTTCAACATTTTTTCAGCTCTCCCGTGACGCGGTGAAGTGTCATTCATATGTTTCGGTTTCTAGTTGCGGTACTTTGTTGTTTAGCTTAAGTAGATGACGCTATGCTAGCTTTATGTGTTAATGTTGCACAAATGGATGCAGTGTGGTGGGGAAATGTGATGTTGAAATGGGGCTCAGATTTGATCAAAACAATGATATTTTTGACCAAATACAAACTTTAGATGATGTTCAGTTGAGGTACTTTGTGGCAGGTAGCAGAAACCCATAAATCCACCATGACAAACTAATTAACTTAACTTAATGAGCGTTGGAGCAGCACTTCAATGGCGAGTTGGCGTTAATGTAGCTGGTCACGCTGCTGCTGTGTTGCTCGTAGTGTGAACACAGCATGTGGCTTAAAAGATCCCCATGGAGTATAATCTCTTGTATTGCTATGGAGCTGTTTATGCATAAGTGGGTCCAGATTTTCTTGTGCACACCAGACTGTATATAAAGATTGAGGCCATGACAGCGCCCCAAAAGTGAAGCCAAAACAATGCGATTGCCCCCTGGTGGATGGCTGCAGTATAGGTCATACGCTGCCCCCTCCATATTAGAGGATAGTCATGGGCCCAAGTAAAACATCAAAGTACACGTCAAATAAATTTTTCTAAAAGATGGTTTCTATAATTTTGGGTAGTTCTTATCATGCTGATGTTTGTGAAAGTCTTAATTTATCTGGTAACTTTGGTTTTATTTAGTAGTTTGACGCTGTAAAAAGCTGTGTTGTGCTCAGGATTGATGGAGCTGCTTGCACTTGGGTTGGGCAGGTATATGGGCAGAAATATGATACCGCAGCTCATCCCAATCACTACTGCGCAGAGTCTGGCTTCATATGATGTCAAATGCGCAAGATGGCAGCTGCCATATCCAGGATATTTTGGCTTCATTTTTGTGCAGCGGGAGGAAGTGAAGACATGTTGTCCATCTTTACATACAGTCTATGGTGCACACACGAGGAAGCATGTGCATGTATACTCGGGTGATTCCAATAGTTTCACACTATTTTACTAATTTGCAGGTGGTGGTAACATGAGGCAATTTGTTGTTGAGGTAGAATACAGTAGAGAACTGACCGGAGGGTAGAGGGCAGAGAGATGGGTAGGCCATGGTTAGCAGGATGTCCCATTACAGTTTAAATTCTAATCATGAAAAATAATTGTTAGTTTTGTCACCCATCAGAACTGCACATCACTGCTTTTGAAATATCTCTCCTTGAATCTGCATTGGGCACTGTAACCTTACATACTGAGAGGTATGGCTCACTCACTGCTGGATTTAGCTCATTTTTTGATTTTGTCATTTCCTGTAGGCAGAGAAAAGTCCAACTCTAACGGCAGGACTGAGAAGAATGTCCCATCCTGAAGAGGGCATTCCTCTCTGCTGCCTGTACTAATATTTTTATTTAGTCTTTCATTTTGCAAGTGAAAGTCTTTGTACATGTTCAGTCCAGAAACATGTACACACACAGCTTTTGTGAAACAGCGGCTTGGTGTTTCTCCTGTTGGTTCTATCTGAATTATGCATGAGAAGGACTTGGAGTGGGTCCTCTACACACAGTACAGTGACGTGCTCAACTTGTGATTGCCCTCTTGACTAGCAGAGCTCTTTCTTGCAGCATAATGTTATGCAACGTTTGTTTTATTGACTCAAAGAAGTGTAGCCTGAGCTGATCTTCAAAGTACAATACCAAGTGTGTCATGTCTGTGGCGGTCAGAGTGGAAATCGTGTGTGTGTGTGTGTGTGTGTGTGTCACTGTGTGTGTCTGTGTGTGTGGAGAAGGGGACCAGGGTCACATGCATAGCTGGTCACATGCTTGGTTATTTAATAGGAAAGCCTCAGTGAAATTACGTTGAATGAGCACAATTATGTGGGGGATGCTACATTTCTGCACCCAGAGCAGACATGTTTTTTAATCATTTCTGTGGGCTGAGTTGCTGGCCTGATGTCAACATGCATACTGACATGTTTGGAACATCTTATTTTGTAATTACAAACTGCTGGGATAGGGAAAGAAACTGACTTTTTCTTTTTTCTCGCTTTCCAAGACTGATTTATTTTAAAGATGCATCAACTGATAAACAAAGAAAGACAGCAAGCGAACAGATACGCATCCATTATCATATCACTGGTCATTTAATGTACTGTAAATTTGTACATACCACTAATGTCAACAAATGCAGGTCCTGTATTATTAGCTAGTCATGGGTGATGTCTTGTAGAGGAGCCCTGTGTCAAAATGTACTTGCAACCTTTTAATGTTTCCCACAAGTACATAAAATGTCCACAAGTGCATACAAGCTGTTGAAACTGCGGATACCATCACATCACGTCTACATACTGTAATTGGCAATACAGCAAGAGGTGCTTTCTTTCCTTGAAAATGTTAGATCAGGCTGAATTTAAGACTCCATAGTGCATGGATAATTCTGAGTGCATCTTTAAATGGTTCAAGGCGATATTTCCTGTGTACTTTGTGCTAATGAATCACAAGCATTCATAGTTAGAACACCTGTTTTGGCAATCAAATGTATATCAAACTCAGGAGTGCTATACTTCGTTCAGAAAAAGGAGGACCTTCCTGTTAATATAATCTCACAAGCAAAAAGACTTATCTGAGCGCATGACAGGTGAGATAAAAATACATGGGCTTTACCGGTTTACGAGGCTTCAGTGCACAATGTAATTTTATGCTGCTAGGGCTCTCTTAGTCAGCAATAACCAAAGACGGAGTTTAATGACGTGGTGAAGTAGCGTGGGATCATGATAGCTATGTTGTTGTCTTTATTGTACAACATCCACCACTGCCATTTTATTTTAAGTTAGGATTCTCTCAGTATTTATTGTTCAGGAAATTTTTACCAGGAACAAACTTCCACAGAAGCCTCCTCCAAACGGACCTGATAATTTAAACTGGTAAAAACACTGAATAGAGCCTTTTCACGTTAAAGGTCAGTGTTTCTCTGATGCTGTTCGGTGGCCAGGGGTCTGCACAAAACGAGGCCTGAAAGAGGTGAATGCCACTTCCCACGCAAAAGTTGTGATCTATAAAAACAGACTCGATGGGAGAAACTTTGGCCCATGCTTAAGAACATTTTGGAGAGGGGAAATTGGAGATGCAGATGGTGAGGTGGAATCCCAATTATAGAAATTGTCAAGTATTTTCTGGGGCGTGCCATTTTCGGCTTTTGTCCGTACATACATTATGTATTAGCCATTATGTAGTATGGATCCTATACACTGTTTTATAAATGAGACCCCCGACCCCAGGGGGTTGCTTGCTGAGGTACCACAAATGTTAGCTCAGTTTGTTTCTAGATTGGGATTCCTTCAGTGTTCATCAATGACAAGGTTTTTATGGGGAACTGAATAATCTGCAGAGGTCTCCTCCTCTCCAAAAACAAACGCACACAGCTATTTAAAGCAGTAAAACTCTAAATAAAGCAGTGTCACATGAAACATCTGTCTCTCCAAAACTCGTCGGCTAGCACAGGATGTCCTTAACTGTCAGGGGGACCAATGACTGCAAGCCAAGCTGCTGCTAACATATGCTCATCTTGTTTCTGTGATAACTTAAAATCCAGATGTCTGATGACTAAAATCCTTCATCCGGCTAAAAGACATAGTTAAAATGACCAAGATCTTGATCCAAGAAGTGAAAGTGATGTGCCTTAAAACAATGGGACAGTAGTTGACTGGAAATATTTTAATGTCTGCTTTCAATTTTGCTTATGGCCTTTTTATTATTACTGTAGTCTACATTGTGCACATTAGTGAGTAAAAACACCACAAACTGACATACACAAAGCTTAGGAGTATTGATGGGTTACATATAATGTACACAGGGCAGTAGATGTGGGCTCAGTAGGGATCCAAAAGCAAATTTTTGCAGGTGTATTTGGTTGTGTGTAGTGGCCATATTTGAAATTGCAGGTCACATGGTGCCCACGGGCCTTCAATCATCTCTTTCTCAAATAAAATCATCACAGAAGAAATGGTTAATACATTTTTTTTTTCAAGCTTGACAAACTGTGCTATTTTTGTTTCTTTTCCAGCTGCACAAGCGAACAGTCCACAGTGTGTACATAATTCAGCCCAAAAAGAAGGAAAATATCAAGCTGTTGCTGAAACTCCTGGCTCCGTCAAAGTCTTACACTGTCTCTTTCAAGGTGAATGAAATGACACATACTTTATTCCTGGGTTTGTTTTAGATTTGACTTCAGTAGGTAACCCTGATCCCACCACTTTTGCAGAAAGTCCTGTTGAAAGAAATCTCTGAGCTCTCCAACTACATTGATCGGAGCCAGCTAACGGCATCACTGGGCGGCTACTTTATTTACTGTCACCAGAGTTGGGTTGCCTTCGTCAAGGTAATGTCTCTTGGAAAATATCAAACTTTATGTCAATACCTTTACCTTTGACTGCCTCCAAGAAAACAATATGCACTGGGAAATTGTCTAGCAGCTAAGGCTAGTTGTAGCCTGAAAGTCTGAGCTGGCCGAACATTAATAAGTACATTTATGACAACTATTAGATGGTTTATCTCGTAAATATTGTTGTGCTAGTGAAAATGGTTCATCAACATAAAAAAATATTGTCTGTCTACAAATGTGAGCTGTTGTAAAACCATACTGCACATTATCCCAGTTTACATGAATAGGCATTTTCAGCTAGCTAGCTTAGGTAGCTAGTAGCTGATGTAAAAAGGCAGCAGGTGAAGGGGGTGTCTGCATGGGTGTAAATAAAATAATTACAATTACTATATTTTTGTTATTAATTTTTGGGCTATCAATTAATTTAAAAGGTACATTTTTTTAATGAGTTACCTTTTAACTTTAATGCATAACTTTAAACTAGCTACTGTTTTGGGAAGGGCTAGCTGACCAGATGCTATGGTTGGTTAACAAAGAGGATAATATTAGCCTTTCTACACATTAAACACTGGTAAATTTATTAGGCCCAGCACAAAATTGACCTTATTGTATTGTGCACAAATTCCAAACAGCATACTACTACTATAATGTATACATATTGACTGTGCAATGTGTTCTAAGTATGAAATGGTAATGTAGTAAGTATCACTTGTGTAGAAACTGGAAATGATGCAAGGTATTGGCCATATTGAACACTCTACAATCATCCTCATGCAAGAAACCTGTATGAACAGATTTGTTCCGAATTGGCAGGTACATGCCTCTGAACTTACATTCACCAATTTCTCTTGGAACAAATCAAATTCAGGAATGATCCAGACCTCTTGTACAAAATCACCCTTAATTTGATTTAAGAGCTTTGGAGTTTAAAGAAGCTGTATGCAAAATTCATAGCATATCTATGATTCAGAATCTGGGGCAGGATTGTCTGCACAGCAGCTAATGGTGCTAACTCAATAAACAGCGCTAACAATGGCAACAGTGCTAACAGAGCTAACAGTAATAACTTGGGGGCAAGTGGTGGGTGGGTGCTATGCTTCCACAGTGACGCTGTCCGGATATCAGTAACTGCTGTATGAACACAGTGCACAGTGGCGTTGATTGGCTAGCCAATGGGACACACTCACAGGGACTCGCATGCACGCACGGCCAGACCATTTTCAATACGTCTATCAGAGAAGCTCGTATTACAACACATACACGGAGGGAGCATGATTTCATTCTCTGCCCAGGAAGTCATTACTCTGCTGTATCTTTACATAGTAAAGAGTTGTTTGCAGTAATATTAATGTTCTTAATATTGCACACAGCTCCTTTTTTAAATATGTTACAGTTATCAACTAAAATAAAACAATCTTCTGAAGTTCTTTTTACTCGTGGGTGACAATTTTGTGAATTTAACTTGGCTGCAAAGAGAGCCGAACAAGTCGTCTCATACACTGTAGCAATTTGTGGGCGTCACATCTCATGACCACACACAGCCTCAAACAGGAATTCATCATGGTGAAACATGCCATTCAAGATAAGCTTTTGCACTCAAGGTTTGCTGAATCTGACTTGGAACACTTGTGTGAGTTAACCTGAAAATTGAGAAGTGTAGAATTAAAAATAGAAAAATGTTCGTGCTTGTGTAGATCAAATCAGTAAAGATCAAATCAGTGGTATCTGCATCAGCAGCCTCTATTCACCAGGCAAAACACCCTGTAATTATTTGAAAAATATACTACTGTGAGCGCACATAATTTTAAATGTTCAGTAATAATATGCAAAAAGTGAGCATCAGTCCACAAGTTAACCATTCTGCACAGTTGTGTTTGTAAAACACATGGGCATCTGAGTGATTCAAAGCAAATCTTATGAATCTGTCTTATGATCAGTCAGAGGGCTAAACACAAAGTATCACTGTCCTGCTGTCCTCAGCAGCAGTTAGTGTGTACACACACAAATACACGCTCAGTTCTTCTGCTTATGTCTAAACTAACACACAAATACACTCTGTTTATCTGACATACAATACTACAGCCAAAATATTTATTCCAACTAAATATTGCTTCTTTGTAACAGTGCGCTCAGCTCACTAAGTCAGGAGATTTTTCCATGTGTGGATCCATTCATGAGATGCGTCCAAGCAGCCTGCGTCTATTGTTTGTTACCTTGGTGAAGCTTGTGCAAATGCCTCGCGTAATCAGCTGACCCTATTAGCAAGTGAAAGGAGCCCCTCTTCTCATTACATTATACATTCAGTCATGTTCATCTGGGGCATTTGGCCACGATCACAGTATTCATTAACCACAGCAGTTCTCTGCCTATAGGAGACCTATTTAGGATGAAACCACATAAGCTCCACTAGAAATAAATTCAAGTTGTTGGTGTTGAGCAAAAATCAGAGCAGAGTTACTACTGGTCCATCAGCAGCTTGATGTATTGTAAAAACTAGACTCTGAAAGTGAGTGTAAATCAGAATACTAGGGCTGTGTATTGGCACAAATCTGGTGATACAATATGTACCACTATATAGAGGTTCCCATTGAATGTATTATGATACTGTAAGCAAGGCGGTATATTGTGTTCTTTTTTAAAAAATATATAATTATAGTAGCTAGCAGTGTGCCCTTTATCACTGTCATGGCTGAATGTTCTTTGTGTTTTGGCTAGCGATATGTTGTTAGTGGTGTTCTGGTATCGGACTTCTGTGCCAGTCATGGATTGGCCATAACAAACACCATGTTTGAGCACAGGGAGGTTCATAAGTGTACCTGGTACCAGAACACCCAAAGGCAAAAACAGATGATCGACTTTGTGGTCGTATCATCGATCTGTGGCCATGTGTCTTGGACACCCAGGTGAAGAGAGGAGCAGAGCTGTCAAGTGATCACCACCTGGTGGTGAGTTGGATCAGATGGCGAGGGAGGCTGCTGCACAGGCGTGTGGTGGGGTGAACTGGAAACGTCTGGCTGAGGCCCCTGTCCGTGAAGTCTTCAACTGCCACATCTGGAGGAATTTCTCATGCATCGCAGGGGAGGTTGGGGACATAGAATCCAAGTGGTCAGTGTTCAAAGCCTCCATTGTGGAGGCAACTGTGAGGAGCTGTGGTCAGAAGGTTGTTGGTGCCTGTAGTGGCGGCAACCTAAGAACCTGCTGGTGGACACCAGCAGTAAGGGAGGCCATCTGGCTGAAGAAGGAGGCCTTTCGAGTCTGACTGGCCCAGGGGTCACCTGAAGCAGCAGAGAGGTACCAGTTAGCCAGAAGGGCTGCAGCTGTGGTGGTTGCTGAAGCAAAAACCCGGGTGTGGGAGGAGTTCGGGGAAGCTATGGAGAAGGACTTTCAGTTGGTCTCAAGGAAGTTCTGGCAGACCGTTAGACGCCTCAGGAAGGGGAAGCAGGGCACGTCTCGGCTGTGCTCAGCAGAGAAGGAGACCTGCTGACCTAAACTGGGGGGGGGCGTTCCCCAATGGCAAGGCGCTGGGTGTGGATGGGATTCGCCCTGAGATGCTTAAGGATCTGGACATTGTTAGGCTGTCTTGGCTGACACACAGAGCTAGTCACTTTGTGTGGATCATCATCCATTGTTTGGAAGTATTTCAGAATGCATGAGATGTGTCTGCGCCACAAAGCAACACAATTAACTTGTTCAAAATAATAATAATAAAAAAAAATATATGATTGCATGAAGGCCGAGAAGAATGATGTCCGTACTATTCGTTAACTCGGACATCCAGTACTGCTGTACTTAACTCCACCATATTCAGCTCTTAAAGACAGACTGAAATAAACAATGCAATCTCATTCCATTTGGCCGAAGGTGTGTGTCCAAAAAACATGTTTGTTTATATTTTGCTTTTGGGAGATGCACTGATTTCAGGGAAAGAAGAACCTTATTTTATGATTTAATTTTGATAGTTCTATTTATGTTTTAATAAGGACCAGTCTTATTTTAATGCAAAGATTTGTACATTAGCAGGAATGTAGTACAACATGGAAGTGAAGTAATGCTCTGTTTATGTAAGTGTTAAAGTGCAATATATCATTTAGTCCCTAAAATCAATGAATCATCATAACAAACAGGGTTTCCTCAATCATGGAAAACTTGAAAAATTTTGTCCATGAAAATTTGTGGGAACCCTGGATAAAATGATAGTGATCTTAATATTAATTGAAATAATCATGATCATCATTTTGGCCATAATTGTACAGCCCTAAATCAACCATTAAAAACTTCATACATTAAAAAAAGGTTATCAGTGAAATGTGACTTGTTTACAACCCAACAGCATCTTGGTATTTTAAACTGACTCTGGTTCTGTGTTGCTTTTTGCAGGAGATTGATGAGTTTGTTAAGGAGTTCCTGTGTGTGGTCCAGCGGCTGCCCTCCTGTATCTCCACCCTGCAGGCTCTGTCCAGGCTGCCGCTGCCCTCCACCTTTGCCGAGCTCCAGCACTTCTGCTCCACCAATGAAGCAAAGTTTCAGCAGCTCAGGAGGTCAGACTCAAACCTACTCCCAGCCCTGCAGCAGATAGTCTGACTTATTGATTTGTAATGCTTTGAGAATTGAACAATCAAGTGAAATTAGGCTTATGCTATTTTTATCCTCTAGAACATTGTCATTACTTCCATGATGTCCTTGTAAAGATGAAAAACTGTAAAATACAAATATTTTTCAGTGACTAGCAACAATAAAGAGTTGTTTTATTTTGTAGCAACAGTGTTCTTAGTGTAGCCAGTTTTCCACACTGGTAACAAGTACACCAGTAGTGCAGCTTACACAACCAAGAAACAAAACACCGAATTGTGTCAGATAATATTTTCCTTGTCCCGCTACACCATCTTCAAACTGCCCTGTATCAATATGTATATGTATGAATATGTATTTGGTATGTAGGGAGCTGGGGCTGGATGAACTGCAAAGGCATTGTGAGAGTGTTATGCAGAAGCTGCGTTACCCCGAGCAGGAGCCGTGCTACCAGGCGATGGCTGGCACTGCTCTCTTCACCCACACTGCCTTCGACATGCTGCAGAACCACAGCAGGTACTGCAGGCAGCTCACAGTGCTCAGTCACAGGAGAGAGTGCTGCTCTCAAATGCCTTTATCGTAATCCTCTGTAAGAACACTTCCCACGCATACCATACAGTGTTGCAATGGTCCTGTGTTTCACAACAGCTAAAGAACAATACCAACAGGAGTTTGACTAGTAAGGTGTTTACTCTGTAAAATGTTTTGTTAATCTAAGCACCTATAGCTGTGATTTTATTACACATTAAATTTGATCTTTTTTATGGCCCAAGATCACAATAAACCATTGTGATCTTCTGGAATTGTGTGCATGTACAGCTTAAAAAGCATGAAAGAGCATTTATAAAAGTGGACAGTTGTATATCTTATTTATTTAACAGAAAACTCTCTAATGCATCTTTGAGCTTAATAACAGCTTTTCAGGGTCCATTCCTTCTGGTATTTTAAGGTGTTTTAGCAGCCACTATCAGGTAGTAAATACGTATTTATGATTACATCTGTTAGTTAAAGGTCTTTTCTTTATTTTACAGGATCACTGCAGCTGTGGAAAAAGTGGAGCTGCTGTGGCAGCAGGCCTTTTCTAAGGCCCGTCTCCAGCTGCGGATGTTCCAGCTGCGAGATGATGCTCTGCAGGTGAGTCTGTGAACAGTTGTTTGCATCTGACGGTGCTTTCACACCTTACCTGTTTTTGGTTCACTGTGTAAACAAACTGTGGTGGTTTGGGTTCATGTGGACTGGTGTGAAAGCTATCAGTCAAACTCTACTTGGGATTTAAACAAGACCAAGAGCACCTGAAAAGCAGGATCAAGGTCTGCTCTCAGGTGGACTCTAGCGTGGTTTGTTTGTGGTTTAAAAGCAAAATGGACCAACCATAGTGGATATTTGATTTAAGCATGACTTAATGAGCCCAACTTTCAATTTTCTGTCTGTGAATTGTCCAGAATGTGATTTTAGAAGGGAATTGTATAAGCTACTTATGTATTTATGCAAATTATTTAGTAACTATGGTAACATGAAATGGCGTCAGCACGAGTGTGGGCATTTTTCCAACCCAATTGCCAGAATATAGTGTTGGCATTGTACGTTTCTGCAAACCACGGTTATGTTACATTTGTACGTATCATATAAGCGTTTTTAGTGATGTAACTGAATGTGTTTACCTCTGCTTACAGATCACAGAGCAGATCAAAACTCTTCTTCAGGAGAAACTCCAGCCTTACAAAATAGAGATCGCCAAGGATGCTGACAAGGCAGTGAAGCTGGTGTCTGAATTTGAGACATCCATTTACACTCCTGCTATGGTACTGGTTTAGTTGATGCCTTGTTTCATTATCAACATGTGGCCTCTTTCAGTGTTTTTGAGATATACACTGAATGTAATCCCAGTTGTGTTGTAGTGCAATTCAGTCAGACTGTGCTGTGGTTCAGATTTTTGCAGGGTAGATTCTTAAAAGTCCTGGAATTGTCTTTCTTGATCAGATATCTAATCAGTCACACATCTACGGTCATTCATTTTGTCTTCCTTTCAGGAGTAGGAATCTTAAGAGTGATTTCACATCACACTGACATATTTCCTATTATTTAATGTTATGCTAATTATTTTTGTTAACTAATCGTCCCCTCCTCTTACCCACCAGGCACTGGTTCACTGTGCTGAGGATGTGATCCACACAGTAGCAGAGATCCTACTGTTTGATGGTCAGACCAGGGAGCGCTGGGTTCTGGATGTGGAGAGGCTCAAGGAGAAACTCAGCTCTGCTGTGCACTTCATTCTCCAAACCCTCAGAGCAGTTTCCAACTACCATCATTACTACAACAAGGCAAGTCGTTAGTATTTGAGGACATGTATTATTGCTCATTGCTGTGGTACTTTGCTATGGTCTAGAGATCCCCCATCAACTGTGGTGTGTAGTACTGTAACACAGCTTGGTTTATTAGTTAGTTGTCAGAAAATGAATCGACCATTTAAGTAATTTCTCAAATAGAAATTATATTTGTTACAGTCTTCTTTAACATGAAGATTTTCAACTTTCTCTACCTCATAAACTGAACGCCTTCGGTGAACCATACATGTCTGTCAGCTCATGTTTTATTTGCTATGGCAGATGTGTCTGGTCCCTCTTCCGCTCAGACAGATTTACAGCCAACCAAGTCAGGCCAGTCACAACCGTTATCTATTATGGGGCGGGTTTCAAATGAGGACTGATAATGGAAGAGATCATGCTTTACACAAAACATGTGATGACATCATGTTTGGCTCACACCAGCATAAAGCTAGCTTAATAAAGATGAGTGCTGAAGAATTTTACAAAGTATCTGCAATGGCTGCCACTGATGGGGAAACTCTGTGAAATTACTATTTTCAAATTCTGATAGCAAAAATGGCAACACTCACACAGATATATTAATGCTACACCATCACAGTCCATTTCTCACTCAGCGCTACATCCATGTTTCATCAGTGATTGGTTGCAATTGGGTTCAGAAGCATTTTTTGGTCTGCGTTTGCTGTGAACGCTCCTTGGAAATCGAAAATGAACTAAGAGGTTGCAGACTAATTTGCATTTGCAAATTGATCTGGCGATGCAAGGCTAAGGGTTTTAGCAGTCTCTTTTTAGCAGTCTCTAGTTGGTATGTTAGCAGTGACGGCAGGCTCAAACTTCCCAAAATACAAAAGCTGAACCTATTTCCTGTTCCCTGTGCAGGCCAGCAGCTGGTACAGTCTGGTCCTCTGTGAGAACATCCTCCAGGTGCTGCTGTCAGGGGTTAATGGAGACAGTGGTTCCACACAGAGGCAGAGGAGGCACTGGGGGTCGATTCCTGCATGGAGGTACAAAATGTCCACTTTCCTGAAGAAGAATCCCCCTCCAGATATGGAGGAGCTGGTTTATCTGGCTCATCTGTCTAATGCCATCCCAGATGATGACATCAAGAAGGCCGGCAAGCAGATGTCTCAGCGGTGAGTGAGCTCTGAGTTTCATTTCACAAAGAGGTTATAAAGGGAAGGGATTTTTTTTTTAACATTTGACATTGATCACATCATTTACAACAGTTCTCACTTTGTTTAGCGGTGTGGTAAACCTACAAACTTCTCTTTTATGAAATAAGAACACTGGTCTAGTTGTACTGTTTACCATGTCATTGTAATTGTAACCAGAGAAGTGCTGCACTCAGATTTATAAATATTCATTTTCTTCATGTAAGGTTTGAGGATCAGTTTTGCATCGAAAATTCTGTCTCAACAGAAAATGTCAGGATTTGTTCAAGTACAGTGTGAGCAGTGTGAATGTCTTGTATCCAAAGAAATCTCAGTATCTGCAGAGTAAGTTTGAGGTGGGTTGGTCTACAACTTCATTTCTCTTATATCCCCCTAACTAGGAGTCAGGACCCCACATGGGGTCACAAGGACAAATCTTAAGGGTCACAAGATTGGTAAAGGGATACTGAAGAAAAGAATATATTGGTTAATTTCAAGGGGTCACAAGCCAAATAGATTGGAAGCCACTAGTCTTCAATTTACTGGCTGAATAACTCTCTGAGAATGAAATTGGTCCTTTTTGGGTTGAGCAATATGATAATGTATAATATTCCATTGTGGTTATATTATCTTTAAATAGTGTATCTGTTAATTTGGCAAAATGTGCTCATCACGTGGTCCTTTTTTACTTTTTTCTCTTGGATCTTTCAATCATATCACTCGGGCTTCCTTAGCACATGAAGTTTGCTCTGTTTTAATGGAGATGGATTTGTCACCGCCATTGTTGGGAATCGCCAGAGAACCCACGATACGATATTGTCCTGATACTTGGGTCACAATACGATATTATTGCGATATGTTGAGCATTGCAGTGGAATATGCTGTGATATATTGTGATTTATTACCTTTTTTTCCAAACTGCAAATTATTTCCTCCTTTCGTTCTCTGTTCCAAATAAAGTCCAGACAATTGATTTTAACGCAGATGGCGCGTTTCTGGTTGCTTTGTCCAGTGCCTCCATCTTTGTTTTGATGAGCTTCCTGCCAAATTGTACTGACTGAGACATCTGCTGACCTCACTAGGAAAAAAAACATCAGCACCATCTAATGGACCAAAATGCTATTAATTTTATTAATATAGTACCAAAAGATGTATTAAAATGTGTATTCAGAATAAAAGATCGATACATGACGTCCTTGTATCAATACAGTATCACCACTCAAAGTATTGCGATACTATGCTCTGTCTATTTTTTCCACCCCCAGTCACCATCCTAGTTAAATTGCTATTATGGTCTCATCCAGAGCTCTTTTGTAACTTCTCGTCCATGTTGGCTATGACTACCTTGTTACCTGATTGAAACCTCCAGATACCACAAGTTTGTGTCAGATTCTAATTCCAGAAAATGGATTATATCATGGAATGCAATATCACAAGACAAAGTGACATTAGAGTAGGGATTCACCTATTGTGAAATTTTAGCCTGCATAACATTGATGTGACACAACAGAAAAATACTGGCCACTGGTATCAGTGAATGTCATCTTATTTGCTGATAGGCCAATGGCAATCAACAAGTGAATGTTGGCTGATAGCGACGTGAGGCTGATAAATCAGTGCATCCCTGCATAAAGACTATAGTTATACACAATTTAATGTTTAATGCCCACTCCTAACATGTTCTCTTACATCAACTGCAACAATTGCAGGCATGGAACATTTAGCTGTGTGGGCGAAGTTGTAGTCACTCCACACCATATTAGATTGTTGACAGAGATTTTTTTTTTTTTTTTTTTTAGATTTTTTTTGGGCATTTGCCTTTAATGGACAGGTAAGTTTGAAAGGGTGAGAGAGAGAGGGGGGATGACATGCAGCAAAGGGCCACAGACTGGACTCGAACCCGGGCTGCTGCAGCAACAGCATTGTATGTGGAGCGCCTGCTCTACCCACTAAGCCACCGACGCCCCAACAGAGATTTTTTTGTCTTGTATTGTCTCACCAGTTTTACAGCAGTAATTTTTTTTTTTTTTTTTTTTTTCTTTACCCATCAGGTGCGTGACCCTGAGGAAACTCCTAATGTCTTCTCAACCTGTGGCTGTCAGTGACCTCCAGCTGGCCTTACAGTGGCAGTACGATTTGTTGCGGAGTAGCCGTGTAAATAAGTCCTCTGCCTCTGCCTCTGCCGACGGTACTACAGACAGAACAAAATGGAAGGATGTTCAAGACCTCACCAAATGCGAAAGTAGCAAGGAAGCAGTCCATCTTCTAAGAACACCTCCTTCGACCACGGCATCTGGGATGGTGTCAGCTGAGGGCAAACCCTCCTCCCTCAGCTCATTCGACTCAGGCTTCGATGGAGCTGGGAGCAGCCAGCTGGAGGCCTGTGGGGGGAGGGAAGGAGTGGAAGGTCTGTCCAGATTGGCTGGGAGCAGGGACTTTGTGAGACCTGCTATGAGTCAGCCTCAAATCCATACAGAGAATCTCTCCAGTGTTTCAGACTCTGAAGATCACAGAGAGGAGTTTGACCTTGGCTCTGTGGGAAACTCCTCTAGGGCCAGCATCCAGATCATCCCTAAAGTAACCGTGGATTCCCTCAACTTGGAGATCAAGGTCAAGCGCTCAGCTGCACTACCCAGTAATCCTTGGCTTAGCTTGCCGGTAGACGATCTGGAAAACTCTTACACAGTTACCATCACGCAAAACCCAACACAACAGAGGGACCTGCAGTTCCATGATCCCTCTGACCCCTACACTAATGCCAACCAGGCCAGCAGGTCTCGAGATCAGCCCACACAGACGGAGGTGTTGACCAGCACACAGCCCAGAGAGCCACAGAACAGGGACTGGACACTGCAGTCACAAAGCAGTTTAGAGGATCCTGAACTAAGTCCCATTCGCAACATCCTCTCCAGCACTATCACAGAAACAGGAGGAGACAAGTCCATGTGCACCACACAGGGGATTCCTACTCTTCTCTGGGATTCTTATGACCTCCATGACCAGAATCGGGATGCTGTTGATGGGTAATGCATCTGTTTCAGAATTCAGTTTGGCCTAAAGAAGTTCAAGCATGTTTGCACTAACATGTTATTTGATCAAATTAATTTGAATGCAACCCACATGCTTTGACCAGCTTGCAGAAGGGTAGGGTTTATTAGCAATGCCGCCTCTGCTCCACTTGAATGACCAGCTGACTGTCACTGTTAGGGTAGTTCAATTTTGCAAAGAGTCTTACCTTTATTTGCAAATTTTAATGTATGTAATATTCATTCATTGTACAAAGTAAGAAAAAGCATGCTGGCTGATTTGTATTGGTTAATTTTAAAGCCAATCTCAGCCGATAGGATGATGTACCGATATTATCGTGCATCCTAACTAGAAATGGGTCCTGTTTACAAGTCGTGTCTAAGGTTCGTGTAAGGTACTAGTGAGTAGTGAACATTTCTATCGCATACAAACCTTATGTGATGGTAATGATTGTCTCAGGTATTAGTCAAACCCTCAGATATTACCAGGGAACCTGAGTTATGTCTTGTGAAAACTTTGCATTTTTTTTTTTTTTGTCTTTGATGTGACCATGGTATAAGTGAGATAATGCTCTTTGAGGAGTCTATTATCTGGAATGTTGGGGCACTGTGATGGACCCCATGGAGGCAACTGTTCTCTGCGCTGGCCTCCCTGTTCATTAATTCCAGAAAATGGACACATCAAAGGACATTATTCCTTATATATTTGAAGTTTGGCTGGTGTTGTTTGAGGGTAAACTTGTCCAAATCCAGTGAAGTGGATAAAGTTAGTCCTGATAGCATCCGGACCCAGCTCCCACATTGTGGATGACATGGCAGTCCCCACAAAATAACATGGCTGGCTAATAATAAACTCCCCATGACCTTACTAGTTACTATTACTGTAGTTAGTAAGCTAGTTAGGCAAGCACGCTAAAGTTAGCAGCTAATATTAAAGCAGATTGACACAGTTAAATCCATTTCGTACAGTGCTGGTCTTGGGATTTTGGCTTTGGAAAAGCTGTAAAATGACTCGGATTACAGTTTCTGTTAGGACAACATGCAAATCCCTTTCAACATTTGTCTAAATCCAAAGCTCATGTGTCTAAATCCAAGGCTTGAAAGATCTGCTGTTTGCCAATATTTTTTTTTGCATGTCTTGGCAGAAAAAGAACAGGTGTAACTGATAAGAAAAACAAACTTTTAGGTAAGCTAGTTCCAGGGTCCTGGGATTATTCGGTTTGTCTCCTAAAATGATTTACTGGGACACTTGAAGGAATAGAGCCATTGTTAATGAAATTTGTTTCACCTGTGCACTTCCTGTTATGACAAGTCAAAATGTCTGTTGTGAAAAGTTCTTTTCTATTTGCTAAGGTACGATGGACAGTTACTGTTTAACCGAGAAGTTTAGCAAATTGTCAAATATGAGTTGTGGTAAATGTTAAAATGTACATTAACAGCAGCACAAATAGAGGAGAACAATGTCTTCAGTGAGCAGAGCCTGTAATGTCAGTTACACAACAATATCTTAAGTATGACATTAGCAACCATAAGCTTATATTCATACCAGAACAAGTGCTGTAAGGCTACAGCAGCAACCTCCCTGAGTGAATTGTGTAAGAGTGTGTTTTATTATCCGGCGACAGCCGTGGCTGGAGGCATTACGTTTTCAGGTTTATATACCATAAACTTTATATAAAGATGGACGACATGACAGCTCCCCAAAAAAGAAGCGAAAACATCTCGATCATCCCCCGGTTGCTGGCTGCAGTACAGGTCATAAACCCTGCCCCCCTCCATGTTAGCAGATGGGACATGGGCCAAACTAAAAGAAAGTACACCTCAAATAAATTTTTCCCAAAGATGTTTTTGTCATTTTAGGTAGTTATCATGCTGCTGTATGTTCAAATATTTGCTTCGCTGATGAGCTTGGTTTTAATTAGTTATTTGATACTTTGGAGATTTGATGTCATTATTGACAGTCAGTGCCAATCAGCGTGCTTGCGATCAATGGTGCTGTTTGTAATTGGGTTGGACAGGTGTTTGTGTGGGAACTTGCCACCTGGGAGTTTGTTACTGCGCAGACTTTGGCTCTAAATTATGTCACCAGCGCAAGATGGCAGCAAGCATATCTGGGATTTTTTGGCTTCATTTTTGTAAAGTGCAAGTGGTGAAAGTCGTCCATCTTTGTATACAGTCTATGGTATGTATGTCCCATTCTCATGAAGGTGATATCTAAAGATCAGATTGAGGGAATTTCTTCAAATTTGGCACAAACGTCCAGTTGGACTCAATGTTGAACTGATTAGATTTTGGTGGTCAAAGGTCATGGTCACTGCGTTCTTGTGTCTGTATCAGTCTCGTAAATGCAATATCTCAATAAGGCCTTCATGGGGTTTCCTCAAATATGGTCCAAAGTCCACGTGGACTCAAGAATGAACTAATTTTTTCACACATTGTCTATTTGGATGAAATGAACTGGTGACACTAATCTTGGGTGTTCATTTTGTATTTGTGCTGATTGTACAGATCTTCTGTGCTGCTAGATTGAAGCTGTTTGTGAAGTGTCCATGTTTTTAGAATATGCAGTTTCTTTGCAACAGCATCCATATTTGAAGTACTGCCAACTGTTATGGCTGCATATAAGTCTGGACAGACAGGGATGCAAACTGTAAGGTGGTAATTCTAGCTGCTTTTAAGAGATTTTTATGAGCTGTCAACATTCAGGGTCTTTCATTGTTTTGGTCATTTTTGAAATACTATTTGGTTAGCTGCCAGAAATAGCAGAAATGTACTAAAACTCTGCAGGTGATGTCATGCATCAATCATTTGTACTTTACAGGAACAATTACTTTAAAAAACACAAAGTGTTAAAAGCATCTAAAAGTTGCACAATGGGCAGTTAGTTCTCAGAGGAACTGACTGTAGTCAGCAGCAATTTGACAGAATTGGGAGACATTTGTTGAATGTGGATGTCACAACTACTTGTAGAATTTGGTTAATGTATGTGCTAGAAGATTGGATTGGCTAAAGAAATTACCATATTGCACTTTTTTCCCCAGTGTGATAGATCTTTCCCTTAATGACTGGGATGTGAAGGAGCAGGAGGATTTGCGGGAGGTGGAAAAGATCCTGGACAGGACTGATGAAATACTAGAGGTAAGAGATGCACCATTTGAGTAAAGGGGTGGATGGTTGCTCCCATTAAGGACTACAACTAGTGATGATTTTCACTGTTGTGAAATGTCAAATATAAAATCAGATGCCTGTTGATGTATTAACTTCTTACTTTATGTGATCAGCAGTCTAATAAACGTCTTGCTCTACAGAGAGAAGAAAATGTTCTGGCTCAGGAGGCTGTGCTGGAGGCCCTGCTGAGGTCTGAGAAGAGGCGGAATCAGTGGCCGCTGTGGGACAGTGAGGACCAGCTTGGTGCGGTATGTTAAGCAGACTTGAGATCAAATCAGTGATGTAAACTATGATGTTTGAAGGCCACTCATCAATGACACTGGGTTACAAATTATAAATTGATTTCTGTAATTGGGTTCAGCATTTTCCTTTACCAAATCTCCAGGATGCTTTGTTCTTGTATGATTTTTGGGCTACATTTTCTAGAGATCAAAGTACTGGCCAACTTTGTTAAATTTAGTACTTAACTTTGGTATGGCTCTTTTTTAAAATGTAATAGTTTTAGTCACATTTTATTAATTAGATTGTTAATTTAAGGCTAGGTTTTAATTTTTGTCAAGGTCAACTCGCATGATTTGGCAGTTTGTCTCAGTTTTGTTGCCACTTCTTTCAGTGGGATTGCACATAAAGTTTGACCATAAATGTTTTCATCTCATTTTTGTTGTGGAGAAAGAAAGCTTCTGGACAGTTTTTTTGTCAGGTTTCCCTGAAAATAATAACCAGTGGTTGCTTGAATGATTTAGGTAAAAACATGTACTATTAGTTAAAGTAGACCTATTATGCTCATTTTTTAGGTTCATACCACAACCCTGATTCCAAAAAAGTTGTTACACGCTATGTAAATTGTGAATAAAAACAGAATGCAATGATTTGCAAATCCTTTTGGCGCTACATTCAATTGAATAGAGAGATAAAATACTTAATGTTCAAACTGATAAACTTTATTTTCATTTGTAAATTTACACAAATTCTGTATTTATGTCTGCAACACATTCCAAAAATGTTGGGACAGGAGCAACAAAAGACTGGGGAAGTTGTGAAATGTTCAAGAAACACCTGTCACGAACATTCCACAGGTTAACTGGTAACAGATTAAAGCATCATGACTGGGTTTGAAAGAGGCGTCTTCAAAAGACTTTACAAGCAAGGACGGTCACTTTGTGAAAAACAGCATAGGCAAACAATCAAAGACTTTGAGAGCAATGTTTCTTAATGAACAATTGCAAAGATTTTAGGATTTCATCATTTGCAATACATAATATCATTAGAAAATTCCAAGAATTGGGAGAAATGTCTGGACATTAGGGGCAAGGCTAAAAACCAACATTGAATGCTGGTGACCTTTGACCCCTCAGAGGGCACTGCATTAAAAACTGACATGATTGTATAAATAGTAACACATGGTCTCAGGAACACTTTGGAAAATCATTGCCAGTAAACACAGTTCATCGCTGCATCTACAAATGCAAGTTAAGACTCATACCATTTAAAGTGAAACAACAAGGACTGACACAAAGAGGAAAAGAGTGCTGTGGTCTGACCAGTCCGCACTTCAGATTGTTTTTGGGAATCTTGGACTTCATGTTGTTGTTACCAGCTCAAAGTTCAAAAGTCAGCATCTGTGATGGTATAGGGGCGTGTTAGTGCTCATGGCATTGTGGCTAACTTGCACATCTGTAAAGGCACCATAATTGCTGAAAGGTATGTACAGGTTTTGGAGCAACATATGTTGCCATCCAGACAACATCTTTTTCAGGGATGTCATTGCTTATTCCAGCAAGACAATGAGACACATTCTGCATGCGCCCCAACAGCGTGGCTTCATAGTGAAAGAGTGGAGGTACTAGACTGGCCTGCCTGCAGTCCAGACCTGTCTCCCATTGAAAATGTTCGGAGCATTATGAAGCACAAAATATGACAATGGAGACCCTGCACTGTTGAGCAACTGAAGTGGTATATTGAGCAAAAATAGGGAGGAATTTCACTTTCAAAACTTCAGGTATTAGTGTCCTCCACTCCCAAACACTTACTGAGTGTTGTTAAAAGAAAAGGTGATGACAAACAGTGGTAAACATGCCTCAGTCTCAACTTGATTGTAATGTGATGCAGGTATCAAATTCAGAATGAGTGTATAGTTACAAAAACAATGTTTTCAGTTTGAGCATTAAATATCTTGTCTTTGTATTATATTCAAGTGATTATAGGTCAAAAAGGATTTTCAAGTCATTGCATGCTGTTTTTATTTACATTTTACACAGCGTCCCAACTTTTTTGGAATTGGGCTTGTATTTTGGGGTTTCTTCTATAACATTTACATGCTTTAATGTTCAAAAAACACTATTTTCCTCATGCTGCCTGTGCTGGAACACCTATATTCAGCCTCAGTGTGAGACTGCCTAAGCCCCCCTCTTGAAGAAGCCCAGTCTGCTCCGATTTGTTAGTGTTTGTGGGGCATTCCGTATCTCTGCATCTCTGCACTGTCATTGCAGTCTGTGGAATGACTGCAACAGAGAAGACTGGCAATTTCTACCATTAAAAATCACACACATCATAAGTTACTTGTACTCCTCTCCCTTTGTTTGTGTGTGTGTGTGTGTGTTTTATGTTATATAAGAACTCAAAAAAAAAAATTTAAAAATAAATAAATAAAATAAAATCACACATTGAAGCTTCTAAACCAAAATCTTCACAACCGGATATGTTCCAGCAGAAATATGATCGGACTACTGTTGGAAAACGGTTTGTATTTGTACATGATTTGTATATGTGCAGTATCTGGACATACCTGTTTTCAACACTGTGCACTTACATTTACCTTGTGTAAGTGCTTGTTTAAGACTGGTCAAATGTTAGTCATTATTGTTGACTAAGGTGAAGGTGATGTCTACTCTGCCAGACTCAGATTGCTATTGGTTTCTATCCAGTTTTCATTTGTGTACCTTGTCTGCCACTGTAACTACAGAACTATGCACAGTGTAAACCTGTAGTGTTTGTTCATTCTACTTTTCCTGCTCATTTTCATAGATGTCATCCAGCGAGCTGGCTGAAGCTGGTGTTCTTGGCTTTGAGGATTACCTCAACCCTGCAGAATCCGACAACCTTAGTGAACCCGGATCAACTGGATCAGCAAGTGAAATTAAGGCCTCTGAAGATGATGGACACTGCTCTGAAGATGCTACAGGAGCAGATACACTAGCATTTTACAGCAGACCGGACCTGCTGCAGGAGCTGAAGAAAGTCCACATCCTGGATGAGCTGATCATGGAGGAGAACCTGAAGATCCATGAGTTCCGAAGCCGCAAAGAAAACCTCAAAGAGGAACTCTCTGTTAGCTATCCTGCGGATACAAACGGACTGTCAAGTGTGAACAAAGACAGGGAGGCTTTTCGGTTACAACTGGAAAAGGAGAAAAAGGAGGTGGAGAAGCTTGAGAAGAGTTTGGACAAAGAGAGTAAAGTGAAGAAGCCCAAGGACAGAGCTAGCAAGGTTATAAAATGTTCTATAATGGAATGGGCTACAAGTGAGAATAAGGAAGACCAAGCACTCTGTGATGAACTTTTATCAGGTAGCTATAACCGATCACAGAGAACACATCCACCATCTTTGGTCCAGAATGATTCTCAGGCTCAAGATACGTATAAAACTGAAAAAGTTCAAGCAGTATTGGGTCCTGATGTTGCCAAAGAGACTACAACACAAGACTTGGTTCAACTTCCACATTCCAAATGTCTGGATCATTGCTCTGCAGCTGAGCCATCAGTATATATTGGAGCTACCTTAGATAGTATATCTGTTTTGAAGGAACCTCCTGAAGAGTTGGTAATCCAACCTCAAGGATGTATCAATGGGAAAATATTAGATAAATCTGGTGAAAATGCTTCTTTAACCTCTGAAACAAGACCAGATGATGGAGTGTTTGACCCAGGTGGAGAATCACACCTTCCTTCTGTGCCTAAGCCAAGACGGGCTTTGCTCCTTGTGAACACCCAGCTCATTGAACACGAACCTCATTCCACCGAGCTGCAGAAGCCAGCTGGCTCCTCAGTCACTCAAGATCAAGGCTTTGTGCAATTTGATCTGCAAGATAAACCGATTGATGCGCTGCCAGAGAATGTGACTCCAGCAATCAGCCACAACTTGGTTCCCAGTCCAAATGTAAAGGAACACAGCTACAACAACAATGACAACCATGCACTCACAGAGGAATGCAAAGTGTCATTAGACCAGTTGTCTGAAATAAGCACTAAAGATGAAGAGGATACATCAGCAGTACCTGAATGTTTGCTGCAGGTAGACTCACACCCAACAGAGGAGGTCAACTCTTTAACTGAAATAAGCGGCAAATATGAAAATCAAGTTGCTCAAGATAAAGTCTTTGTGCAGTTTGAGGTGCAAGAGAAACAACTTGATGAGCCACCAGAGAATGTGACTCCAGCCATCAGTCACGACTTGGTTCTCAATCCAAATGTGAAGGAGCACAGCAACAACAACAATAACAACTATGCCCTCGCAGAGAAATGCAAAGTGTCATTAGACCAGTTGTGTGAAATAACCAATAAAGATGAAGACGATCAAGTCGCTCAAGATCAAGGTTTCATGCAATTTGATCTGCAAGATAAATCACTTGATGCGCTGCCAGAGAATGTGACACCAGCCATCAGTCACAATTTGGTTCTCAATCCAAATGTGAAGGAGCACAGCAACAACAACAATAACAACTATGAGTTCACAGAGAAATGCAAAGTGTCATTAGACCAGTTGTCTGAAATAAGTACTGAAGATGAAGAGGATACATCAGCAGTACCTGAATGTTTGCTGCAGACAGATTCACAATCATCAGAGGAAGATCAGACTTCATCTCCTGCAGATGCGCTCCCACATCAGCTGTCAGCACCCCAGCTGCATCCTGACCAGCCTGTGGAGTTTGATCCCAGTGAAAGAGATGAGCAGAGTGAAGACTTTGCTGATGGTGTTCAGAGCTTTGAGGCCATGAGGGTATCAGGCTCTGGGTCACCTGTGATTCAGACCCATCTTAACATCAGTACGAGAAAGGTACACTTTCTGCTTTAATATGTCTGGTGGCCTCTTTTAAGTTGTGTTGTGTTTCTCAATTGAGAGCCTTCATATAGACCTTTCAATGTGTCACCGGTCTCCATTGTGAATGCTAATGCACTATGGATGTCACTGGAGGATTCCACGAGAGGGCACACCAGGGAACTTGCGCTGAATAGAACAGATTTACATCTTGTAAACAACAATTATGGCAATATTTGAGGTTACTACAGCTATCTATCTACTACTACACAATCACATATTAACATACTATTCATATTATGCTTGATGTAAAAACTGAGTATGTAGAGTGTTCACACTGCATGGTTTGTGGATTTTGTGCGCTTAAGAAATGCCCGGTTATATACTACAGTAGCAAGAATTTCTGGGTATGAGATGTGAGAGCTGCTGGCTGGGTCAGACTGGTGTTGTGTCCAAGACCCTTTCCTCATCTGTGTTTTTCCCTGCCTAAATCTGAACAGAACCCTCATCATCAAGTGAGGTGCTTTACATTAACCGGGGGGAAACAATATTTACATGTCTGTTGGTAATGGCATAAATAATTGTTCATTTAGTAAGCAGTAGGCCTATGCAGTACACACAGATTGAGTATGTAGTGGGCAGTATGTCACAATGTGATTTGGAACACAACCTGTATTTAATTGTAAGATCATGGCAGAAAAAGCATCAGCAGCACCATCTTAGTTGGTTCGTAGGGGTGGGGGGAAAAAATTAGCATAGTCCGGGTATTTTTGTGGGGCAATATTGTATCGTCACAAAATGCCAAGTACCGTAGTCTTTAGGTAGCCCACTAGAATAATATAATCAATTGCTTTTTCAGTCTACAAGATACATTTTGCTGCTGCAAAAACATGGCTCAAGTGAGGTTATCTTATTGGATAAAGCAGAAGTTGAAGTTTTCCTTTTGGGGGCAGTTGAAGACAGGTAATAAATTGCAATAATATTGAATTGTGACTTAAGTTTCGTGATAATATCATATTGCAGATCGTCTAGTGATTCCCACCACTCGTGGTTTGTAAGGCCCCTAAATGAAGCGCGTCATGACGATGCCGAGTAGGTTTCTCACATTTACCCTACCTTTCATGTGCGTATAGCATCTTTTGGACACATAGCATTGAGCAACACTCCAAATGCAGGCAGCTGTCATGCATACTCGAAAGTGTAGTTAAAAGCTAGTATATCTCCGGCTTTAGTAACACAGGGTTTTTTTATATAGCGTATAAGATACATGCATGGCGCAATGATCTAGTTCAATATAGCAGTTAAATATACTTATTTACTTTCTTATGGACAGTCAGATGAGAAAATGAAAATCAGATGCTTATCTAGGGTTAACCTAGTTAGATGCATGTTAATTAGACGTATGTCACTTTAAACAGAACTAGGCTAGCTGTTTACTGCTCTGTCTTTATGCTAAGCTAGGCTAACCACATCCTGAATCCCGCTCTGCACTTAACACTCAGACATTAGATTGATACCAATCTTCTCTTCTCACTGTCTGAACAAAAGCAAATGCATGTTTCCCGCAATGTTGGAACAAAGTGAAATGTGACTAAAAATAATTTTAGTATCACTTAACATTTTAGGAGAGTTACTCAAACCTGGTGAGCATCCCTAGCATTATTTTTATTCATTTGATTGAAATGAATTTATTTTTCTTAATGTGATTGCAGATGACGGATTATAACACCCCCATAGTGCTGGATACAGGTTCTGGTTTGATGAAAGCAGGATTTGCAGATCAAGACCTCCCAAGTGTTATATTTCCAACAATTATTGGGATGCCAAAATATGAGGTAAGGGTATATCCTTAATTTATTACTCCTTGTTCTCTACAAAAAATGCATTCTAACAGTGAAGTGGCTTTGCCTCTGTCCAGCCTTCGTGATCAGAAGTTTTGTCTCTACAGGAAATAATGAATGGTAGCGTGGACAGGGAGACCTACATTGGACACGAGGCTCAACACATGAGAGGAGTCCTGGCTCTGAAACATCCCATAAAGAACGGGATCATTCGTAACTGGGATGAAATGGAAAAGGCAAGTAGGACTATGTATACCATATATGAGATGTGATGTCATTGGGTGTTGCTGCTAGAACTACTGAGTGTTTCTATGAAAAAGCATGCTGGGATTTTTGTGCCTCTGCCCTGGCGATAGACTTGGCCGGAGGCATTATGTTTTCAGGTTGTCCGTCCATCTGCAACATCTCAAAAATGTCTTGAGGGAACTTCTTCACATTTCGCACACATGTCCACTTGGACTTCACAATGAAGTGATTAGTTTTTGGTGTTTTTTCAAGGTTACTTTGACCTTGTGTGTGTCATTCTTGTAAACGCTATATGTTAAGAATGCAGTGAATTTTTATTTTATTTTTTTCCAAATTTGGCACAAACGTCCACCTGGAATCAAGGATGAACTGACTAGAACTTGGTGGTCAAAGGTCAAGGTCATGGTGAACCTTTTGTCCATTTAATTTTGTGAGCTCAATATCTCAAAGAGGTCTTAAGCGAATATCCTCAAATTTGGCACAAACATCCAGGTCTTGGGCGACCCAGTACTGGACAGACTGGTC